CGTGCGGTTTATGGCGACAGTGTGTGCCACAGAGAGGATCATCGCATCCGGCTTTGGGAACAAGTTTGCAGAGTGGCTCATCTCAGAAGCATCAAGTCCTGACAAAATGCTCCCGGCAGATCGAGCCATAGGCCCGCCTCAGACAAAGACTCTCTTTATTAACTCCGGTGGGACGGGGCCTGCGACACACTACTGGCTCTGTCACCGCGTCTGACGTAACAGCCACCCAGCTCTAGAAGCAGAAGTACCTCCCAGTCACTGTCCAGTCGATGTCCGTCTGCATTCAGATTTAGCTCTGACTCCTGGAAGCTCTTATTCTTCCTTTCAAGGACAAGTACCATCAGTTCTCTCGAACATTCCCACGTGTCACTCACTACTGAGTACTCCACCCCAGAGTTGTGGTCTGGGGACTTCAGCTCCTCTAGGAAGTGGATCCGCTCAGCCCTGTTTGGAGGGGATTGATCTCTGTCCCAGCCGGGTCCCTGGAGTCACCTCGGCCGAAGACTAGAATTAGAGAGAAGGGAGCGTGCGTGACATGGAGTCACAGTAATGGGTTCCTGGGGCCTGCGGGTGTCTCCTTTGAAAATTACAGTTATGTCCTCAAGGCTGTGAATTCTATACTAATCACCAGTATCTAAAGATCATTCTGTATATATATTTTAAATTATGTCAGCAAATTAGGAGCAAAATCAGCAATTTTGAGGGATACCTAATTTGCATTAGGTTAGGGAGTATTTTTTGACCTCTCACTTTGTACTCTGAAATGTGTGTTCACGAACTTATTGTTATTTAATCATGCATATTCCCAATCAATTGCCCATTTACTGACAAAGAGGGAAAACATGAAACACAGAAAGGGAAAATAAACTGACTTTGATACTAAACATCTGTCAGTCTGGGTCTTCTATTATTTTTAAAAATTTTGATGTTTTATTTTTTAGTTTTTTTCTGTAAGGCTCATGCACTCGCCACAGAATGAGAGAGAAGTCACCTCCCTCCCCAACCCCGGGGATGGCCATGCTGCAGTCCCTCCTCCTCCACTCTTCCCTCAGGGTTCTGGGCATGCGTGCACATGCACCTGGCATGATTTTTCAAGGCACTGGGCCTGGGACTTGAACAGCAGAACTGGCCTTGTGAGATCCAGCTGCCTCGACCTTGGCGCTACCTGCTGGCCCGTTTGGTTATTTACACCACGCTGTGAGCCCCAGGTTCTAGGAGCGACCTCTGCCTTGCTATCTCCCTGTGCGGACAGGGTTCTGGGCATGTGTGCACATGCACCTGGCATGATTTTTCAAGGCACTGGGCCTGGGACTTGAACAGCAGAACTGGCCTTGTGAGATCCAGCTGCCTCGACCTTGGCGCTACCTGCTGGCCCGTTTGGTTATTTACACCACGCTGTGAGCCCCAGGTTCTAGGAGCGACCTCTGCCTTGCTATCTCCCTGTGCGGAGTGTCCCTAGGCGTCAGGCACGGGGCCCACAGCGATGCCAGGTCGTGCAGCTTCTCCATGTGGCTGTGGGAAGGAGCTGGTCTGTTTTCCGTCCATGAAATTTCCCTTGCCCTTTGTGGAAGGCTTCGTCCAGTCTAGACGTGTCGAGCTGTCATTTAGGAACCGTCTGGAGATAAGCCCGTTTTCTCTTGCTGATGTGGCTCAGTTTCCTGTCGTCCCACCTCCCAGTGTGGTCACGTCCTTGTGTTTCAGCATCAGCCTTTGTTTTCTTTTTCTTCATGATGGAGTATATGTGTGCATACGGGAGCGAAAGAGGGCCTGGTCACTTGGTTTCCTCCAGTCTTCTATCAGGACCCTGGGCAAGCTGATGGGGCTGGGATTCGATCCCCCATTGGCGATGTGGCACCTAGCTGATGCTCCAAGGGGCTGGCCCAAGCAGCGTTTTCTTACCCAGTTTAACTTTAGGTGAGTGAGTGTTCCTCTGACCTCTCTGAGCTGAGCTGTACCTGAAATGAAACGCCAGAGACTGCTCAGCAGGGCACGAGCTGGCGTCTGCTCTGTGGGTTTGTTTCCTTATCCTAGCTGCCAGCGGCTGCAGGGGTTAACGAGCGGCCAGAGTTCACTCCCGAACTCATTTTCCTAAGACCATAGCGAAAGCTTGTTTTTAAAATGCACCCCTCCCTGACAGCTGGACCACTGCCGATGCTCTGCTCCAGCGTCACGTAAAATGCTGTGACCCACTTCTCAGGTGTTCTTTTCTCTTCCCTTAGGGTTTCACAGGAATAAATGTCCATGTCCCTTTCTGCTGCTTCTGTTCTCTCTGGCTTCCCGAAGGGACTAGAGTGCCGCAGCCAACATTTATGCAAGAGGTGCTGGGGCGGCCTCTGCATGGGTGCCCGCCTGGTGGGGTGGAGCTTGGACGATGCCCTTGGCTCCCTCCCTTCTTGAAGCCCTCCTGGAGCCTCCGCCTCCCAAACAAGTGACAGATAAGCCTCTCCTTATCCCTGCTGGCTCCTCTGACTGAGGTCCTGTTCTTTGCACGCCAGACCCTTTGATTAGCAGGTGGTATCTGCAGCCTTCCTGCCTCTGCTGGCTTCCTCCTCAACTAGGTGGCTGTCAGTCTGTCAGCCCAGACAACTCTGCTTTATCCCTGTGTCCCGCCATGCTTATCAGTACCTCTTCGCTCCGAGTGCCCTGGCTTGGACACCTTATCCTTAACCTCTTAGTCTCTTATCACCTACAGGAACTGCATCTGAAGGTCACTGGAGTTGGAGATGTTTTTCCCCTCTTCATTCCATATTGTTCTTCATCTTTCTCTCTTTTTTTCTTTAGGAATTATTCTTTAACTTACTTATTTTAATTTGACCAGAGAGGTACAGAGTGAGAGTGAGAGAGAGAGAGAGAAAGAAAGAAAGCAAGCTGCCAGGTCCAGGACTTGAACCGAGGTTGTCCATGTGGGAGTCCAGCATCCTTCAGTACCACGTAACCTGCTGGCCCCATCTTCATCTTTCTATTTACAGACACCGGTAATCCCTTCATCTTTCCCAGGGCCTTTTTTCCTTTGGCCCCTGGCATTTTAATTTGCCGACTCCCTTACCTCCTGTCTCTTCTCCTGGGTTCTCTTCTCTGCCCACCCTCTTCTGGTCTCCTTTCTATGGTGGGTGCCACCCACTTGCCCTGTGAGCTGTCTCTGTGCCCTCCCAGTAGATCCATTAAATGCCTAGTGAGTATGAAGCACTTACAGGGGTGGCATCGGGTGTTTGCTCTGGTGCATGGTCAAGGGCAGGTCTCAAGGGAGGGAAATGGGCCGTACTTATATAACTTCACCCTCCTCCCCCAGCCCCACAGTCCACCCTCCCAGTTGCCTGCGTGAATGGCTTTCAGGTTTTCTAGGTCATAAACCCTTTTGAGAATCCAAGAGCTGTTTATATTGCCTCTAATCGAAATGCACATATGAGAAAACATTCAGTTTTATGACAGCGTATTACGAGCTGAAACCATGAATTAGAAACCTCGGTCAGGCAGCCCAGGGCCTGGCAGGGAGGCTCTGCGCAGTCCAGCTTCAGCCTATTTCTGTGCCAAATCCCCCAGTGCCTGCCTCCCCGAACCTTCTATAAAGTCAGACAAGTGAGCTCCTTGCACACCACAAATGGTGGCGCGTGTTTGTGCCTTGTCTCGATTCCCACTTCTCTCTAATACTCCTCCTCGTCTAAAAAAAATTCTTCCATGAGTGAGAGAGAAGATAGAGAAACAGCCCCCTGCCCCACCCCAGTAAAGTCTCCATGCCACAATGTACCCCCAGCACCACCCAGCGCCAAGTGGGGGGTATGCACATGCCTGATGTACTTGGGAGGTTTCCAGACACGAACCCAGAACCTTCCTGGATCAGTGCATTGTGTTCCTGCAGGGCCACCATCCAGCCCTGATAGCCTTTCTTCAGCTCGGCTTACTGAATCTGAGTTTTCCTTCAAGGTCTAGCCAAGTACCATCTGTTCTAAGAAACCTATCCCAACCAGCCTAACTAGCCCTCCGCTGCCTCTCCCTCTTTAGTCATAACCTCACTCTTACTTTTGACATTTAGCTGTTCATCCCACCTCTTCCTGTCTAACTCCAAGGAGACTGTTCTTCTCCGACTCCTAGTTCTTTGCATGTCTGTGCTCAGTAAATGCTGACTACGTTGGAAAAGGCAGACAGAAGATGAGCGAGGAAGAGCAGCCCCCTGTGTGGCCCTTGACCTGGCACATTGTCCTTACTACTTGTTTCGCATGAGCCACCCCCCTCCTGCAGCCAATGGCCACGGAGTGTCAGGGCCACGTGGCTCTGCTCTGCGTCCTGTCGGCTGGGCAGCTCTTGCAGAGGGCCAGCAGCAGTGGACAGGGCTCTCTGTGGCTCCCGCACAAATGTCGTGTTACCCCAGCTGCTCGCGTGATTCCTGCCGTGAGTCCCAATCTGGTCTGGCCTGTTCCTTTCTCAGCCATTTGGGTCCTTTGTCATCCCTCCATGCCCCACCTCGATGTAGCTTTTCCCGATGCCCTGCCAGGAGTGCTCCTTCCCTTCTGGAGACTTCCAGAGCCCTTATCATGGCCTGCCCCAGGCCAGCTGGGTTCCTGCCTTACTTTGTTCTCTGGTGGCTTCTGTTGAAGTTGTCGTTTCTTCGATTACACTGTGGGTGTCGCAAGAGTCAGCACCCTGTCCAGGGACACAGCAGATTCCGTGAGAGTGTAGGCACTTGGTTCTCCAGCGTTGCTTGTTTTCCTG